TGGAGCACCTGCTCCCCCTCCTTCTCCACTGACTTTGGTGTCTCCCTGTTGTTTCCCTCGCACACTCCCATTGCCTCCTCCTCTTCTTTGGCTAAAAAAAACCTGTGTCCATTTTGTTTTGAATTTCTTCTTAAAGTATGTTGCCACAGAGGCATAACCAWCGTCTCTAATTGGCTCAGCCTTCGCCAGAGGCATGTCCATCATCTTCAGGGCCATCAGGGCTGACTCTGCTGGACATGGTGGAAACTTCTAGCAGCTTCTCACAGAAGCCATCTCTGTGGCCCCCCTCCTACCAAAAACCAGGCCATGCAAAACCAACACACCTACAAAGCACAAGACCAAAAGCTATTAATTGTTTAAATTCCCTTTGAGGAAAAACGTTTGACTTGTATTTCACACAATAATCACAGCTGCTAAATATAGTTGATTTCTCAATGATCATATTGTGTACACACATCAGTGCTGTAACTGCTCTCTCCTGTTCAYTCAAATTTGTATTAGAAAGTGATCAAAATGAGATCAGGAGGCTACTGACTCATTTGGGRCTAAATTACTATTAATTGTCTACACCACTGCCTTCATGCCTACATTCTTTAACTAGTAAACCCATGTCTGTGAAATWAGTATTTTGGCAGTGGGATGTCAAATACCATTTGAGGGTTGCTCTCTCAGCTCCCATATAAGCTGAGGACCTRTCCTGGGTTTACAGAATAAAGCTACTCATAGACTTCTGCAGCACATGCATAGCCCAGGTGCTCCTTGACCTTTCGGGGCCCAAAGGAATAATGTGAAACACTACCATTAATGGGAAACTCTGATACATTCACTACATCCTGTTGTGAGSAAAGTCTCTGACTGGTCTCTTCCAGTTTCAAGGTCCTGACCTTTCATCAACTGGTGAGACATCAATAACCACCAAACAGCAAACATCAACATCCCTACAACCTCCTTGCTTTGCTGGACTAGGAAGCTATTACTGACCAAATGCACCTATCAGGGCAAGGGGGACCAGTGTGTAAATGATTGCCACAAAAACCAAACTGCTGTCAGGTCAGTACCTGATTGTGCTGTAACGTGTTTTTCACTGAACATTTAAAATAGTGACCGGAAAGAATCACACACATCTTATTGAAGTATTCCTTCCATCCTCCCTCCTCACCAGGGAACTAACACATCCAAGACCCCCTTTCTGGGATCACAGACAAACCCCCTGACACTCACCTTTCACAAGTCCAGGAGCAGAGCAATACAAGTGACAGCAGTTGCCACTACTATCCACCACGATCTCAAATCACAGTACAACTGACAGAAGCAATTGACTAACAAATGTTGTAAACCCAAAATTTAAGTTAAAAAAAAAAAAAAACCTATGTGTGAAGGTAGGTTTGTGCCAATATATCTACTTTGTCCTCTCTCACTAAAYTAAAGTGGCAGTAACAATCCTAAAGCAACACTTTAAATAAAATACATCTCCCTAAATGTCTGAGATTGGTACCTATCAATAAAGTAGATTGTTTTTAAAATATCAGGAGCTAATAGGAGTTTATCATTAAGACTTATTTCCTGCTTTGCAATRCAAATGAAAAATTCCTCACTGGGAATAAAAAACTACTGCATCAGAAAGACTTGCAGCACACAACTTCACTATTTCCTCTTCTGAGTTTCCAGTCTCAGTTCTCAGACACCTGCTCAACAAACATCACCTCTTTTAGAACCTTTGTGCTCTTTATTATGCAATGAGGTCACCGTGTTGATTTTGACTTACTGAGAAACACTGAGTACCCAAATGGAACTTAGCACAAGCTTTATTGCACAGAAGAAATTTATTTTACAGAGAGCCTCCAGCTAGTCTCTAGACAAACAACTTTTTTTCGAGGAACTGAAAAATGTACAGGTTTAATATTACAATATTTACTGTCACTTTATAGTCTAAATAATTTCTCACTATTGTGCAGGTAACAATTYAGGTAAAAAATATGAAACACCTATAAATGCTATTTGAAAGTCCCTCGCATACCAAAATAAATAGATGTAACAGAAAATTAATACACAACAGCTCTAAAGCATCTTTTAAAAAACCCAAACTCCTAAATGTTGAAAGATCATTTAAAGTTTATTGAAAAACCTTTAGAGATTAGTATCTTGATATCAGGTATCAACCATGTCACAACGTAAGTAAAATCCAGGAAACTGCAATTAAAACAGCTTTTAAACTCTGTTARGTTGACCCTGTGAGCCAGTCCCTCAGTTAAAAGTTACTGACAGAAGCTTTTGGAGCTAAGTACATGTAAACTGACAGCTATGCCAGGAGGTACAAAAAATAAATTCAGCATCTTTTGTAATTTCAGCTGCTCCCTGCTACACTTTGAAGCATTCTGAACATACAGACCAGGCTGAACGACTAAACCACAAACCCACAGAACTCAGCAGTGTCAAAATCACCTGTGTTTTCATTACCTGTGCACTTTGTTTTTAACAGTCTCTCCTGATAAGAAACCACTTATGGGCAAGTTTAGTTGCAGTCAGAAAACAGAGCAGAGAATGCTTACTCATTTACTTAGAATKAAGTGATTTGAGGAATAGCAACTGCTTCATTAAGACAAACATATTCATTTTGTCATAAGGTCATTATGTTTCCCAGCTGCTGCTATAAATCTAGTTCTACATTTTCATTTCCAYTTGTCAGCTACAACAACTACAGCTTCAAAATTTTCTTGGATAAAACAATTACCTAGAGCTGACAACTCTGAAGAAGACGATTTTATCACACAATATCATACCAATAACTTTCCATAAACTCAAAGGAATCAAGACATTTACTCTTGGCAACAGAGTATAAAAAGTGGCACAYCAGCAGTCTTAATTACTTACTTAGGTGCCTTGACAGTAACACAARAGCTGAAAAAGCTCTCATCTTTTTTTATGTCCACTACTAAACACCATCTTGCTTAAAGGTTTTTTTAATTGTTTTTAAGAGTTGATAAAGCTTAGGTTAATGACTGTGRACTACAGAACAAAGAGGGATAAGAAACAGAATTCTGGGAAGCTTCTTAAATATCTAAAGATATCTAGGGCTAGAATGACAATTTACACTTAGARAGTAATGAASACCTTTCAGGATTCCAARCAGTAATTCCTCTGGTGAGTKCTGCACTCTCATTCTAGTGTGACAGTCTCATGTTTTGATTACACAAAGGAAAGGTTATAGTTGCCATTAGACTACTGAAGCACRATTCTCTGAACATGAGCCACCCAACAGCCTGAAAACCATCTCTGCTTGAYACAAATAATTAGCTAGAGACCAGAGAGATCTCACATCTTCAGGAAAGAYCATGAAACTCTGAATATACAAACAGAGAAACTAATTTTGAGATTACTTCTTACCCAACTGATTCTTCATCATTAGATCTGCGTCTGCTACAATCCTTTTGCCTTTTTCCTTTTGCAGAAGGCTTTCTGTTGTTGGCACYTAATTTCCACTGAAACAAAGCATACAAAATTGGCAGACTTCAGCAGATGTGAATATTTCATAATGGATAATGCACTAGAAAAATGGGACARTGCCAGACACTGAAACAATATAAGTGACCAAATATATGTAAGCCACAAAGAGCAATTTTGCAAAAAAATATTTTTTTTTTATTTAAAACATCCACATACCACCTGATCTTGAATAGAACATTTTTTTCCTGAAGAAATATGATCATACAGGAAAATTTCAGTGTTTCACTATTTAAAGGRGGACTATCCCAAACATGAGCTTAAATATTAGGCCTATTCTACAAAGCCACAAATACACAAGATGCATAAAGTAAAGATTWACTCCATGCATTTAGGCAAATTATAAAGGTTATAATATGGATCTAAAAGATGTAAAACTCTGAGAAGGAAAAGCAATTTAAAAGTTTGGTACTTAGGTGGCAAACCTCATAACACCAAGACTTGTTTTTTTTTCCAAATTCTCTTACCTTACCAGAAAGTACTTACATTTCCAAATTAAATAAATTTGGAAATTCCTTCTGCCATTACCTCCTCCTAATCTTCCTCATTTCTTAAAAATTCAAAATATAATAAACCCAAGAGATGCTTGAAAGTTATGCCACTCATGATGAAAGCAGACAACCTTATCTTCATTTCTGAATAAGTGTGGGTTGAAAGGACATCCGAAAAGTTCATGCCCATGCATATTYTACAAACTTTAGTGAAGTCATATCTCATATCACATCAAAGACATATCCCAAATCAAATTTTTCCCCACCATAAGGACTAATTCTAATGGAAAATAGTTCCATTATTAAAATAGTTGTCAGGAAGATATTGTCCTGAAGGTGCTCTCCCCTCATCCTGCCTTCAAACATCATCTGATTCACCTTGTATCACTGGTGTTCAAGCACAGAAGAGACCTACACATCCAAATCATTGGAAACTGCACCAAGTTTCTCAAACAACATGGTGCAAACTCTGACAACTCATGAGCAAGCTCCTCTTTTAAAGTAGAGCATAAAACTAGTCAGTGTTAAAAACAGATGAAACTCCCCAYCACATATGAAAAGGTTTGAAATTTATAGACACAGGTAGGAAAAATAAGAAATGGAAAATTGGACAACATCAAGGAAATAACAAGGAAATGAAGTATTTTTCAATCCAACAAGTCAAATCATTATTTTTAGAGAAGCTCAGAGAAATACAGAAATAATTCCATGCAAGTGCTTGGATCTGCCCAAGAGGTTGCTGCTTATAACCACATGAGACACTACCTCCTGTTTCAAAACCTGACTGCAACTGGATGCTCTGCTCACTGAAAGCATTGCCATACAGAACACAACCCCAGCATAAGTCTCTGTTGCAGCATTCTCAAATGACCTGGCCTACCAGGAGATCTGGATCATATTACCATCAYTAATGTAAGGCAAAAAAAATTCCTGCCTTCCCTCACTACAGCTTTCAAGCTCCTCTGAGGAGTCTGTTTGTCCAGGCCCACGATTCTGAAAGCATTAAAGTCAGCAACAAACTGGATGCTGAACTGAAGGAGACAAGAGCAGCAAAATATGTTTCCAACACTTGACACCTGAATTTACTTTTGGAAGAGATTTATAGAGGCAAATATTTGCATCTATATGACAGTCTATATGACAAAGATGATCCAGACAGTCATTTATGATAAATGGCATAAGTACTCTCAAGTCTTTGGGTCTTAATACAGTTATTTCTCTATTAGCACCTATAATTCGGTCAAGAGTCACACAGTACTTCATATATTCTCTTAGAAGTTTGTGCTCTTGGATAACTGAAAATTCAGTGTAAAAGTTATTTCCATATCRTAACAAAAAGTTTGGTAAGTAATCTAAATAGAATCTAAGAGTTCAGGAGTCAGAAGACAATCAACTAAAAAAATAAATGTATTTACCTCTAATGATTTTCAAAATAGTTTCAAACTACAGGTTGAAGGTAAACTCTGCTTTTCAATGACTTAGGCTGGAAACATGGCACTAAGACTCCCACTTCTGTAAATGTATGCTTGCAAGCAGATTTCAAATCTACACGCTTGTCTCTCTCAAGATAATCTGAGTTATTTGTTACAAGGCAGCAACTTGGTGTTGAAAAAACCCAGCCTGCAAAACTAAACCAAAACCTCATGTAACATTCTACTACACACTTCACACTCTGAAGAACTTCTCTTTACCTCTTTTAAAGGGTAGTCACAATATGGAGAGCCTGTGAGMCTTGCCAAAGGGGACTGAACTTGGACATCCTCTGACTTGGTGTTTGTTTTCTTCTCTGGTATACGAAACTGAAAATAGATGATGCTACACACATGGTAAAACTAAATTATCCACTGGTGCTACGAGCTGACATATRGCCATGTACAAAGTTTTCTAAACTGCAGGGTCAAATAAAATTGTAAGGGAAGCACTGACCTGTGACATCACTTTAAATGCATTCCTCATTAATGCCTGATCCCAAATCATGTGTCATACCACATGAAGAGCTAGTCTTAACACATGAACCATCTGAAAAWGCTCTTCCTATTCCATTAACTTTACAACTTCAAACATGTCAAAAAGGTGACAACCCATCTACTGGCACAGTTWTCTTAGTTCACTCTGATTTGTTCACCCTCTAGTTTGTCTCATCTTAGAGAATTATAAAGAGAAAACAAAACAGCTGAATGTCATGACCAAGTTTGCTTTCTCAAAAGAAAAAAATGAGGATGAAGAACAATTACATCTTATAACAGCACAAGTACTTCGGTATGATAATTTAGCATCAAACAGACTTTAATGTACTCAAAATAGGAAAGGTTCCTTCACTGAAAATCAAACCAAAAATGACCAGACTAAATTTCTACTAATTCATCAAGACAAAGAAACAGGATGATATTTCCTATCAGTTAATTAAACAAGTTAAAACAATATAAACTGAAGGAATTAAAAGTGCAAGCATTACTATTTCTCCAGGTATCCTGAGTACTACAACCAGCTGAGGATGTATCAGAGAGGGACTGCAACAATTACACCTTTCAGACAACTGAGTCCAGCTCAGCCAGGAAAAAGCTAAAGCTACTCTACATGATGGACACTGTAAAATGAACTTGCTTTGCAAGCCATCAGGTGCCTTACACTGTAAAATGAAATTACAAGCAGGGATTCCAGARCAGCGACGCTAACAACTTAATTATTAACACCTCATCTGCATTCATTAGCTCAGCAGGCAGTCCTTCAGACAAACCATAATGAAGCTGGCTGCACCATAATGAGATAACACTTCAATCCTTCAGTCTGAATCGTGAGTGCTCTTACTCCTTCTCTATACTTCTTTGAAACTAAGATTGAAGTTTTATGTAATTAGACCCAAACTTCTGCTTTTGCTGGTCAAATACTAACAAATATGCCTTTAATAACTGATTCCTCAGATGCTAAAGGATACAAATGTTATGCATASGCAACATCAAACAAGTACCTCTCTTTTCAATCAACATGTAAAGATTAAAACATTAAGACATTTTCTTATTCAGGAACTTTTACAAGYAAATTGTTTCAAATTTATTTGTTTTAGTTTGTTTTAGAAGTGGCCTATAAACACATTTATCAGTCAGAATGCATGTTTGTGATCTGTGCTTTAATGCCTAGGTACAGATTTCTTACTTCAGACCTTCACCTGCTGCCTGACTAGCAGCTTCTGCTATGAGATTCCTAAGAGCATACAGTTCCCGAGAATTTTAAAATACCTTCAAAATTAAAGAGGTTCTGATAACCTCTGTAACGACATAACAGACAACATTAAGTACAGATAAAGKCAGACCCAGTAAACAAGAAGAGGCAACTGACAAAGGGATGTAAAGCACAAGATACATTAAACAGCAACATTTCCAGTTTTCACTGCAATGTTTGCACTCATTAAGAAGATGTTGGTTTACAGAGCCCACAAATAACGAACAGAACAAGCACGAAATCAAAAGGCAAAGAGAGRTCTGAATCTATGCTAAACACAAGTTATGCAGTTGCCTCAGCTTTTSCCAAATAAAAAATTACTAACTCTACACATACATGTGCATACGCACTCAGCAGACTCCTCATCTAAACGAGCAATACTTTTCTGAAGGTTCCCACCTGTAGGAGCAAGGGTCAGAGAAAGTGCATAAACATAGTGCTGGAAACAGCTCATTTCTAAACCACTAGATAGCCCAGACCTTACCCAATCACACCAGTTCTTGTGTCTACCATTTGTTCTCAACAGTACATACACAAACTACTCCTAATACAGGTATTTTAGAAAAAAATATACACTAGCACAAGAAGCCTCTTAGCACATCTCTGCAGATATAAGTTTTACACAGTTTTGCAGCTATTCTACTGCTTCAAGTTACTCTAAAATTTTAGTGCTAGCCTAGGTCTTAAAATAACTTGGAAACCCTGCTTTATGTGTAATCAAAAGCTAAGCCTATCATGTATTAATAKATGTTCAACAATAGACATTAGTATTGACTGCTACCACAATAAACAGTTTCCAAAGAAATTATATTCCAACAAGGCAAAAGTTAGATCAGTGAAGAATGACTTTGGCTGTCAGAACACCCTAGAATACCCACAGCCTCAAAATAAACCGTTAAAAAACTTTAGAAACACTTACACTGGCATGACTGGAAGATGATGTTCTTCCTGACATGGTTTCCTCTACTGGAAAAAAAAAAAAAGAAAAAAACCCTTAGTAATTTCTGGTTTACTGATTAAGATGGACGCAGGACCACAGTAGCAGGTACTAAGAACAAGAAAAATAATTTTTCAGCAAAGTAGCACAAGGAAAACATATGCATAAAATAGCTTGCATTGGATGGGACTTTTAAAAGATCTTATAGTCCAGCCCTCCTGCCATGGGCAATGACATCTTTCATTTGATCAGGCTACCCAAAGCTTATCCAATCTGAYCTCGATCACTTCCAGGGATGGGGCATCCACTGCTTCTCTGGGCAACCTGTTCYAGTCTCACCATCCTCACTGTAAAAAATATTTCTGCTTCATGTCCAATCTACACCTACCCTCTTTCAATTTATGACCATTTCCTCTTGTCCTGTCACGACAGGCCTTGGTAAAGAGTAATTGACAACCAAAGTAGAGGACATACACACACTAGGGCAAGGCTCTAGATTGGCAGCACAGACAGAACTGTTAATGAAACTACCACTAGAATTTATCCCTAGCTAAGACATTTACTGATTAACTCCTCCCTGCAAGCACACAACTAATAAGCAAYTCATACTTGGACTATAGAGTGAAAAGGCGTTACAGAAGGCACCTGTACCACTGCAAGGGCTCCAAGAATAAATATTCAAGGTTTCCTGTTAAGTTTATAAAATCATCACTGGAAGAACCGAGTTTCAGAGCTTCCAGCATTTATGGGTATTTGTTCTCTTTATACATATTCTATATGACTCTGGCATAAGACCTTCAAACCTTRCAGCTAGTTTGGATTTCTCAAGAAGCCAAGTTCGGGGACTTTCACTCATCCCGGCCGTTTTCCAGCTTAGAGCCATAGTCCCTCGGTGTGGTGAACAGCAACATCTACAGACTGATAAAGAAAACCGAAGTACTGCCTGATCCAAGGCCTGCGATGAGGGAAAGCCGACAATGGGGGCCCGCCTGACAGCTCGGGGAAGGACCGGCGGCAGCGGCAGCGCCCGGGCTGTCACCGCCTGAGCCCGGCCCCACAGCGCTGTCCGCCGGCACTGGGGCACTGCGGGGCACTGCGGGCCCCGAGCCGCGGCTCCTCCCGCTAACAGGGGAAGGGGCTTCCCTCTGACAAATGCGCAACTCGCCAGGGCCTGGGYCAGCTATTCCACATTTCCACACTCCTCAGCCATCTCCCAGAAGAGCAGCAACGCCGCCACCAGCCGTCCCCCCGCCCCTCAGTGCCCTCTGTCTAGCCCTGCCGGCTTTCCTCGTTCGCCACAGACACCGCGGCCGCACGAGTCCCCCTGAGACGCTGCCGGCCCTGCCTTCCTCCCCCRTCCAGCGCCGCAGGGCCGGGACTGAGCAGGAGAACACACCACCGGCAGCAGCACACAGCACTCACCGCCACAGCCGGAGCTGTTTACCCGGGCCCCGCCGCCGCTGCGCAGCTTCCCCGGCCACTTCCGGGGCACCGCCCTGCCCTCAGGCCCTSCGAGCTGTGACTCGCTCCGCTTCAGCTCGCTACTGAGCTGCTGGGGGAAACAAGGGAGAAAACTGCATTGCTTTTAAAGAAGCGATAGGGAACCCGACCCAGATTTAAGCTGTACCTTGCTAATCACGTTTCCCTCAGCTCACAGCCAGACCCCGCCAGGTTAATTCCCCTGACGCGGGGAAGCACAGCCGGGCAGCGCCTTKGTAAACCCGGCTGACCGCGGTTTGTACCTAATGCCCTTAAAAATTCTCCTACAGCCATAAGGAGACGAAGATTTGTTGGTTGAGTTTTTTAGTTTGTTGTTGGTTTTTTGTTTTTTTTTTAATTTTTTTTTTAAGGGCAGCTTCAGAATTGTAACTTTTGTGTGGAGCTGTTTTGTTTTCTTCTTGGTAGTGGGAATTAAAACCGGTGAGGACAAATGTTTAGTTTCATACTCGAGGTTTAGCTTTGATTTGCTGTCAGGTGTTACAAACGTGAGAGGTTAGTTTGTAACTTGGAACTTAACCTGGAGCCCTTTAGGTTACTGTAACTATCATCTTAATACCTGAAAAAGGCCTAGAAATAAAGCTCCATAGACCGGTGTCTATAGAGCAGGTATTTATTGCAGTGCTGGAGGTGAGGGCGATTTTTCCTCCTAACCCACCTGCCTTCGCTTCAAATTGGCACACATTCATACAGTAAGTATCGTGTAACATTACCATTGTCACTGTCCCCCCTGCGCCCACCACCATACATGGACACAGAAATAGATGATATCACAGTTCTGTAAGTGTGTATGTGTCATCCTCAATTCAGTGGTCGCAAGGGTCTCCCTCTAATGAGAGCCCATCCTCTTCATCATGGTGGACTTTTCACCTTTGTCTTCAGGGCATGCACAATTGTGATGTTCATGGGTTTTTTTCTAGTCCTCCAAGTCTTCATTTTCAATTATTTTGCTGTCTGTCCTGTGCCTCTACCGAGTTCTCATTAGTGCTCTCTACTGTTCCTTGTTATAGCATCTACCTGTCTACTTCTTCAGAACTTTTTCTGATTTATGCTCCTTGGTGATTTCACATATCTGTGTACTAATCCAGCCGGTTAGATTAGGTGCAGATGGTACACTGTATGTTGTCAATACACTATTAAAAARCTTATAGCAATACATAAAAAGGCTATCATTGATAATATATTGAAAGTAATTACATTGTATTTTAGTAATATGTAAAAAGTTATTACATTCTTATATTGATAATGTATAAAAAGGCTATAGAAAGTTTTCAATTAATAGGCCTCATAAGCACCTTGTCACTTTGATATAAACCACATGTATCAAGCTAATGACCACATGTATCAAGCTAAGATACATGCCCCAGTATGTAAAGTAATGAAAATTGAAACCATGACTGGGTTTATTTTTTTCATGCAGAGGACTTGTCTACACTCCCAGAGTGAAAAACACTTCCATCTATGATGATGACAGATTTTACAGGAGAACATACGGTAATGTTGGGCTTTACTAGAATAAGGTGGTTTTGGAAATGGAAATGGAAAACAAAGTAATCTTTATGGATCTCATGGAATAGTTGTAATACTACAATAGTGTTTAGAATATACTAAATGCTTTAACAAGCAYGAGCTGAATTTACATTTTAGAAGCATTTTAGAATCTGAAAAGCAAAGTGGGAGGAAGGGAAAGAGGAATTATTTCTTCTCCTAACAGCACCTTTTAAAAATGAAGGCAGAAATGGTAAAGGCTGTTAGCAAATACGACCTTGAATATTGTATTTATATATAGATAATAAAGTACAAACAGCAGTCAAGACCGATTTAGAATGCAGACTTACACAAAGAAGTACATRCATTATGCAGCTATATATAGTACAATCTATAATTACTACTTCATAATTCWATAATTGTGTTACTGCAATAAAAGCAGTCCTCTGGACTAATARCTATATCATTCTAAGCTGCTATTTAAATGAACTCTTAAGTGACAACTTATTATAAATTGCTTCAATACTTTTCATTTTGCATCTTGAAGGCAATTTTAGGAAGGAAAGTCATACGTGCACTTTATGTAAAACTGGGTTTGTTTCTGCCTCCTGAAATCTTCAGAAACCTTTCACAACACTTTGTAAAGTAGATGTTCATGGTTTAATTTGGAATCATGTATCCTTGTTTTGAAATTGAAAAAAACAATGTTACTGTTAGGAGCTATAGTAAGAGGATAGTAACTTCCTGTTCCTAGTATGCTGGGAAATTAGTCTCTCCAATTTTTTGGGGGTGAGGAGAGAAAGGGACTTAAGGCATACAACTTTGAGGAAACTGCATTTACCTATTCCTAATTGTTACAGAAAGCTACACCTTTCTTCATAGAAGACATCTTTCCTTAAAAAATGTCTATTTTTCTTCCACTTCATCTCTTTGGAACAACCACAGGAATATGGGTAACTTCTTTCCTACTAAGCATTATCTCTTTTGCATTAATTGCCTGTATTTCAGTCGCATAGCAAACAGACTGTTCTCCCATCTCCTTTGTGTCTTTCACCTTTCATTCTTCCTTCCTGCAGAATGGAAAAATGGTAGATGAATGGGTGTCCATGTTGTTTCCATTTCAACAAACTGCAAGACAGTAAATGGATATGTATGACAGAATCTGCTTTTTTCCCCCTTTTCTATGGGTACTGATTATATGAGATAAAAAGAGTAAGAACCATTTTTTAGCCTACTCTCTATTGATCAGAAGACAGGAATGATCCTGAAGAGAGGTCTTAACACTAGCCCAGTGGAGATTACTCAAAAGGAAAATATATGTGGTGTTGCTATGTTGAAAAGCCAGAAGTGTRTTTGTTTGGTTTTTGGTTTGTTTTAATTTGGATGCTAAGCACCTTACCTGAAGGACATGTGCATTCCTTGAAGGAGGTGGGTTCTAACTCAAGTCACTCAGACAAAAATATTCAGAACACTTTTTGTCCTTGTAATTGGCTTTATCAGATGGTATGGTGAGTTTTAACATGGAATCTGATTTACTGTGTTCTATAAATCCCCTTTAGCTCAGCAAGAAAAACTTACAGGTATATAGTATAACTTGCCAAATGTAACTGATTCAGACCAAGCACAGAAAAAGAATAATGATGTTAGGACAAAACTCACGTAAAGGTAGGGTTCTGATCACACCAAAAGTTGTCTGGTGTTTGCCATTCTAAAGCCAGTGACAGCTGGTAGTAGCCTGAAGAGTTTCTCGGAAAATGGAAGGTACTGCTAAGCTTAATTTTTTCAGCTGCACAAAAACCACTTCCTGGTGTAATTCATATCAGTCATTAGAGATAATCTGAAACTGGAGCTCTCAATCCAACCTCATGATAGTTTGCAGCATAGACTTTCCTTTCTCCTGCTCCTAGATTACAGTGGCTAGTTTATTCTGTCATCCATCCCTATATTTCCATGTGGCACATGCTTGTGAGGATGAATGACTAAMTGGAGTGATTAGTGGAAGGCAAACATGTACATGAATTATCTGTTCTAGTGCAGCTGGAGGTAAAACATAGAGAATATGCTGGTATACGAGCAACAGGAAGGTTGAAGCCCTTAGTAAGTGCAGCTTGATTTTCTTTAAAAACTCAGGATCCAGTAGGACACTTTGACCATTTCCAGCTGCCAAGGCCTGTATTTCACGGACAACTTTGAAGCTCAGTGGAGGGTCAAGATAATGGCTGTGAGGCAGCACAGGAAAAGTTGTTCAAGTGAACAATGAATCATGTACATGTGCTTCCTTCTTAAAGCCTTTAATTCAAACTACCTTAAACAAATCTTTAAATAATCATGCTAGCTTACAAATTTTAACTTTTACAAATTTATTTACAAGTTTTAAATTTTACCAAACTGAAATAAGGCATAATAAAGGCAGATAGGTTACTGCTGTTGGAACTTTGGATAATCTCTAAGAGACTTTACAAGCAGCTGGTTTACTACACATCACCAAGAAATATTCTGGATCAACAAACAGCTTTTAAATCTGAATAGGGTAGGCAGGTGTTGTGTGCAGGTCTATCGCCATTTTGACATAGTCTTCTTAATTTGTAGTGGTTACAAATGCAGAAAGAATTCAGGAAACTAACAGAGGGTTCAGAGTATCAAGAGSATCTGAAATACGACTTCAATATAAAAGGGGAACTGAGGCACCTGGATACAAATGAGTCCTTTGTTTTCAATTACTACAAGAATGGACTTGAGCAGAATCATAAACGCTATGAAGTTCTGGGACATTTTATTACCCAGTATGTTTATGAGCTCCTGGAAAGAGTCTGCATGCTGCAGAAGGTTTATATTCCTACTGATGCTACAGAGGATGAACCACRAACTTTCTTTTTCATGAGCAAGAATGCACTAACAAGTTCTTCTAGCCTAATTATTCTTCTTCAAGACAAGGGAGTTTTCTGTGCTGGACAGTGGGGGCGAAGGACAATTGTCAATGAAGGCCTGAGACATGGAACACAAATACCATTCATCAAAATGGCTCTGAAGAGCCACTGGGAAGTGATTGTACTGAACCCCAATGACAATTTTGTCAATCTGAAGACTGAAAAGGAGAGGTTTTCTGGCAGGGAAGAAGGACTTACATTTACACAGTCTGTCTGGCAGATCCCCAAGAGGGGCAGCAGCAGCCCTGAGGAGCATACCATGTATGTATGGGATCATTTCATTGCAAAGAGTGCAGCCAGGAACGTGGCCTTCATTGCCCATGGCTATGGTGGGTTGGTGTTTGTTGACCTGCTGGTGCAGAGGAAATGTGAGGTGATGAACAAAGTGTACTCTGTGGCRTTCATCGACTCCACGCACAACATGCAGCACCAGAGCAGGCACGATCCGGAAATACAGGAATGGATACAGCAACACTGCCGGGAATGGGTGTCAAACAGTAAACCTTTAAATAAAACTGTGAGCTTTCTCATGAGAGTAAGTTGTCCTATTTTCTCTGCTGGAACAGAAAAGTATGATTTAGCACCCTCCTGCTGCTTACAAGCCATCTTTAAGTATCTGAAGAGCATGCTGAAAGCCAAGATGAGAACAGCCTTTAGGAATTCACCTGTTGTAACCAGAAGCAGGACAAGAAAGAAGAGAAGCACCAAATAAAGGTACACTGGTTTGTTCTTGATAGTGGTCTCTTCCTTTCATAACTGCCTCTGCACCTTTCCATCGCCTGTGAACCTTCATCTCACTGAGGAGCAATTTACAGTTCTAAGTTTGAAACAAATTTGTTTGATTTTGAGAAAAAACAACAAACGTTAACTATTATGAAAGAAGTGCATTGTTAAAAGCCTTAAGCCACAACCCTTTGGCTAGYTGTGAAATTTAAAGTTGAATTAAAGATGGTAAGGTGCACCAACTCTCAGCTGTATCATTTTCTATAATAAACATTCTATAGTTATGGCTCTATATTCATACTAAACAATCAGGAAATCATTTGTGTAAGTGCTTAGCTTCATTAGAAGGCCAAATCTGGAACAGAAAAAGGATATAAACAATTTGTGTGCCATATATTGTTTAAAATCTTTCAAGAGCTGGAACATCCACCTTCTTCCCAGAAATATTTACTGTTAGAGCTGAACAATGCTTCAGGGAAGTACATACTACTGCCCTTCCTACCAGTCAGAGTTGGTGTAACCCAAACATGACACATAGAGGTAAAATAATTTCCATTTTAAAGCCAACTAAGGCAGTGAGAATACACAGAAATACATTAGTCTAGCAATCTGCAGGTACCAAACTGATGTAAAGCAATGACATTGCTCTTTCCTCTCAGTTGTTAAAACTTTAGACAGAGGTGGGAAACCCAGTTTTTAAATGTACCCTTTCAAGACTTGGAATGTATACAAGCAGATGTTCAAATAATTTTTAAAGTGAATATAAACAAAAGAATTTTTCTTAATTTCCAGTTCAAGCCCACAGGAATTAGTAGTGTTCAATGGCCATGAAAAAGGATCCTTTGAAGGATGACAAAACCTTCTCCTACAAGTGTAGAACATTCCAATCTCAGTCAAAAAAGGWGTAGATAATGGGTATCAGACAGAAAAGAACATGAACTTTCCTTTGTGTTTATATCCATTTCAGGTTTCAGTCATAATCTCTCTCAGAAGAAACTTCTGTCATGTTACACAGCAATGGCTAAAAGTGTAAAATTCTATTGGAAAGGCACATTCAGTTGAATGCTCTTGAAAGCAAGCATAGCTTTTTTATGGTCAGGTTTCCTGTTATTATATCTGAATGAAAAGGRTACTACATAGACAACTAATAGACAATCCCACGCCTTGGTTCCCTGAAGAAGGTTGCACTGGAGATGCCATAGTAGAGGATGCACACAGTCTGTTTTGTAGGGGCTGGTCAGCACACAACTCAAAGAACAGTCACTTGKGTGAACTCTGTGCATGAACATGTAGCTTTATTTATGAGAGAAGCATGAGGTGACAGAATGTCTGTCTTCAGAAGGAGACCAATATGATCCTTCAGGATAAATGCTCAAACTGTCCCATGGTGTCAGAGGTGGCTAAAAGTGCCCAAAGGAAAAAAGAKATCTAGAACATTGTCCATTTGTGTCATTCTTTTCACAGGTCATCCCACTAAATTCCTTGGTAGAGAAGGTCATATTTAGGAATGTTTTTGGGATCAATTGGACTTCTCACAATSAGCTTTCCCCGCATTGCTCCGCGGTAGATCACTTCAATCAGATCTATAAAGTCTTGCTTTGTTTTGAAGCTTCCTACAAATTTGGTGTGATCTGGAGACCTAAATATAAGCATAAGACAAAGGCAGAGTTGTGATGTTAAAGTATTCAGAGCAAAACCACCTAAAGAGATGAGAAGATCAACAATGCCATGATGAGTTCTGATCTGGTCATTCTGAAAGAATTAACTAACTTTGTMATGGCATTGCCAAGTCAGGAATATGCTGTGACCTCCAAAGGTCAAACARATGCAGTGTCATGTTGAAGATTTTAACCATTTCTTACCATTTTTTCAGAACCAGTCATATTTCACCTATTTTCTGCATCAGAGCATATTTCAATTCAATTACTTCTCTATTTTACATCCTTCTGGCTTGCTACAGAGTTCTCAATGCTGATGCTGGTAACAACAYTATAGTTTTCAAATGTTACCTTCCCCAGACACAATAACATAAAGACTGATAATCCCTACAGACACAATAGACAATGGTAGGGTGACTTACCCATAATCAACCTTCATRTGTTGTCCATTGAAGAAAAATACAGTAGATGGAATATAACTGATGTCAAAATACTGGGTGTACACTGGGACATTGTTCACATCCACCAAGTAAATGACTGCCATTTTACTTAGGTCATGGGCTGTTTTTGCAAGCTGGAAAGAGTGASAAAGGGGGATGACAATTAGACTGAGACAGAAAAGAGTGTGGCAAGCTTTATAAAATCTGTTTCTCTTTTGTGTTATCACCTTAAGCAGGRCTAGAATATCACATCTTGTCTACCTCAAGTACTTTGTTCAGCCACTTTTAATCAATATAGTATCATTTCATTCTATATTTGTCACATTTTTCATGAGTCCCCATATTAGCCAAAAGCAACATTCTCTTCTCTTCTATGCAAAAAGTATACTTGTACAGTTCATTAAAAAACCCAAAACCAACAACAACAACAAAAAAAAAAAACCAAAAAAAAAACCAGAAAAAAATGGTCTTACAATATCATCGAGCTGCAGACAAACAGCATCATTATCCCTTCCAAAACGGAGAACCAAAACCTTCTCAGCCACGCTTTTTATTGCCTGATCCACTTCCCTCTTACAGGTCAGTTTGGGCAGCAGAAAACTCATCGCGACAGATCACGGTCTCCACTAAAATCCCTACCTACAGTAAGGAAAAAAAACCAAAAAACAACACAACAACGCACCATCAAACAACAACAACAACCTGCATGACAAAAATAAACTAAACTTCTCTGTGCTATTAAATTTTGGTAATAAAGAGCGAGGAAAGAAGAGAGGGACGCGGAAAGAAAAGCGTAGATCACCAGGCCGGGGCCCCCAGCGCTCGCCACGCCCCAGCCCAATGCGGCGGCGGGGCCAGACCCTGCCCCGCACCAGGAGCGGTAGCAGGACCCACCGGCAGCCCCCTCAGTGCCCGGGGGTTCCCCGGGAATGGGATTTGGAAGAGCTCCGATCACCGTCCGCTTCAGGTGCCGCCGTGCGCGTACAGAGAGCCCGGAACGGTGGCGGTGCAGCCGCGGAGCGCCGGGGACAGCSGAGGGGACGGCACCGCGCCCGGAGCGCCCTCCCCGCGCAGGCGCAGCGGCCCCTGAGGTGAGCGGCGGCGGCGATGGCGTGGAGGGGCGGCCGTGACCGCGGCGTGGCTCGGGCTCCGACCGGCCCTGCCCCTACCGAGCCCTGACGGGCGGGAGCGCGGCCGGAGATCGGGCAGGTGCTTCTCCCCACCCGTGACGCGGGGTCCCGGAGGCCGCGGTTCTCGCAGGCGCCGCCGCAGCGTGGGGAGGGGGCGCGCCGGTGTCCCTGGGGGGGCTGTGGGGCACAGCGCGGGGCTGTGGGGTGTGASCTGGCTCTCAGCGGCTCGGATAGTCGTGGGCTGGTGGAAAAGTTGAAAACAGCGTGCAGTGCCGCGGTCTGGCGCGCTCCCCCACAGCCGCGCTCACAGTGAGTGTGTCTGAAGGGAGGTGCCAGGAGGAGGGACCCTCGCTGTTCCCCGTGGTGCCAAGCAATGGGACAAAAGGCAGCGGGCAGAAACTGATGCACAGAAGGTCCACCTGAACATGAGGAGGAACTTCTTTACTGTGCGGGTGACCGAGCACTGGAATGGGTTGCCCAGAGAGGTTGTGGTGTCTTTCCTCACTGGAGATACTCAAGAACTGTCTGGATGCAATTCTCTGCCATGTGCTTTGGGATAACCTTGCTTGAGTAGGGAGATTGGACTAGGTGACCCACTGGTCSCTTCCAAACTTAGTCTGTGATTTTGTTAATCTGAGTGGGCAGCTGTGCTGGGCAAGTAAGACAAGTTACTCAGTCTCTGAAGTATCAGTGAAGAGCCTGTCTGTAATTGAAATAAGCTGCAGTGAAGTCATGCTAAAAAAAGAAAAAAGTACTTTCAGTGTTACAAATCTTAAGTTCCTCAAAAAGACAATTCTTGCAGTAAYGATTTTAGTGTGAATGTTTGACACACTGGAAGGTAACTTGGATCTATGTAAAGCTATCATMAAGTATTCTGATAGTGTAAATCTGGCGTTAATTTGAGCTCCAATAATATAAGTTGAGGAACTGATCCCTTGATTTCTTCACACTTCTTTGATCATTACTTTTGCCAGTAGGTTTAATGCTTCCATGTAAAATTAGAGATACCTCTATTGTAACACTTAYAAATTTTCAGTTAGGTTACTTGGTTGTTTTTGTTTCTTTTATCTTAGTAACAGTAGAATATGAGAGGTCAGTCACCAATTTGACCAGTTACTGTATAGTAAAACATGCCAGGTTATATAATATTCCTAAATACTCCTTCTGTGCCTCTATCATAGCAGGTACATATTTACAAACTCGATGTTAGATTTAGCTTCTTGTTCTGCATATCAAATTATTTTCAGGTTATTAGGGAAATTATGAATTTTGCCATCAAAATTAGGAGCTAATTTTATTTTTGCCCAAATCATGTTTTTCTCAAGCATTGAAACTTTACTGATGCCTAGTTTGATAGTGTGCATAGGCCATGGAAAATATTAAACATTCTTGAGTGTTTCTCTTTCTGAAGACCTTTAATATTTAAACACAAGTGTATATGAAATTAATGGGAACTGGGGGGCCTTATGATCTTAGCTTTATGTGCCAATGCTAACTTCACAGGCAATTTAGCAAGAAGAAAAATATGGTCTTTTCCTGTACTAGTTATTGACTCTTCCATCTCTTCTTTCTCTTTTCACAGGATAGATAAATTATACACTTCCAGTTTCCATGCATTTCACTGACCTTGGTTGTGAAGGCTTGTCATATGATACAGATAAACATATCTTGGACAAATCTTGAAGGTTATTTGACTTCATTTTGAATTGCAGTAAGTATAGCTGGTTTAAGCTGGTTTTACTTAGGAAACAGTGAAAAATTAATAGTGGAAGGAGGAACTTGTAGCATTCTCCAAGAAGTAACCTATTGTCTGTGGGTCTTACTAAGAATAAAAATCTGTCTCTGTTCTCTTTGTGATTTCTGACAAGTTTTTTTCTCCTCATATTGGTGTTTTGCAGATAACTGYTGTCACACAGCACATGTGTAAATATGCAGTCTGCTAATATGCTTCTGAGAAAAATTGTAAGAAGTTCTGTCCTGCCATTTGCTGCACAACATGGGATGAAAAAGGATTTGTTTCCACTTAGTAGAACTCTGAGTTTATCACTCTGTCTGAAGCAGGACAAGTCATGTGAACCCTCAGAAAAACTAGATTTAGATGCGTGGAAGAAGGTAATGAAATCTGGGTTTCAAGAAGAGGTCAGTGAGAYGGTCTCAGAGCCTAAGGAGCCTTCCAGTTTGGCTGCTGCAAGTGAGATGTTGGAGATGTGGAGGCTATCTGGCAGATTAGTTCCAGAAAATATCACTGAAGAACAGCTAAAAACTTTTATGGAGTGTCCTTCTAAGTCAGCCAAAAAGAAGTATTTAAAATTTTTGCATCTCAAAGAACTYTACAAGAAAAGAAAGATGGATAAGAAAATGGAAAGGAGACTGGAAGCACAAGATCAAGATTCAAAAACAGATGAGACCAAAAGGAATTCAATCATATATGTGCAAACCAGTACTATGGATAAAGCATACAACTGGAGGGCTGCTCAGTCCATGATCTTTGGCCAGCCTCTAGTATTTGACATGTCTTATGAAAAAGAAATGTCTGACCGAGAAGTYGCAAATACAGTGAGACAGATAGTACTGAGTGAAAGCTGCAATCGGAGATCTGCAGATCCCTTCCACATCCACTTCTGTAACTTCAAAGAAGATAGCCTCTATCACAGGGAATTCATCAAGCAGTACAGAGAGGGATGGGGCAAACTGCTTATCACAGCGACAGACCAGTGCTACACAGAAATCTTTCCAAAAGATAAACTCATCTATCTGACAGCCGATTCTCCCAAAGTAATGAAGACATTTGATCACAATAAGATCTATATTGTTGGGTCAATGGTTGACAAGAGCATAAAAACAGGAGTCTCTTTAGCACGGGCAAAACGGTTACRGTTGGAGACGGCAGCTCTTCCACTGGACAAGTATTTGCTTTGGAGTAGTGGTGCCAAAAATCTCACACTGGATCAAATGATGCATATTTTGTTAACCTTGAAAGATACTGCTGACTGGAACAAGGCTCTGGAATTTGTTCCAAAAAGGAAATACAGTGGCTTTGTAAAAAAACCTGTAAACAAACCTGTAAACAAACCTGTAAACAAACCTGTAAACAAACCTGTAAAGGAACTGAAAAAAACCTTAGACCTGATCAACGCACTTAAACTTAGAAAGAGACCGGAAGAAGTACAAAAGCAATTTGCCACAAACTACCCCAAGAAGTATAAACTAAAGCAGAAGTAGAGTGATGGGGAGAATTTTTTACACACAAACTGCCCTTTAATACTCAGGCTTCTCAGTACATCTGGAACTCTGTTCAGCTCTTAATCTTAAAACATGTTCTATTGCTTACATTTGAAATGACCATTGTTAAGAAGAGTTTGGCTTTTTTAATTACTTTAGTAGTCCAGCTGTTTAAATTTATTCAGTCATTAATGAAATTATGTAGGAGAAATGAGATAATCAGTTAAAAAAAAATCCCCAAACTCTACACAAACAATACCAGTCTGTTCAATTGAAGTATCCTGGGACAAGGATGATTGTTACTGAATGCAAAGGTTGTTCTTCAGAACTCATTGCTTTGGAGATTGTATACCTCAAGTTTTATTCTAAAAGATCACTAAAATGAAGTAAAGAGACCTCCCCTATTAATTCCTGAATCTTCTTATGCAGATGAATTGACCTTTGATAGCTGAACTAAAAACAAATGGTTAAAACCTTGCATGAGTTTGGGGAGCGCATAATTTATTTCCGGGTGTTTTGTCTGGCAAAATCAAGTCCCTGTTTGGAAGAAATAAGGCAAATTTGACTGTGCCAAAAAAAAAAACCTTTCACACTTTCATGTAAGACTTATCCCAGGATGCCTGTGTTTTCAGGCCATATAATGGGGATTTTCCAAAGTGCTGAAACTTCTGAGATTGTAAACAGTCCTATTAATAAATACTTCGAGGAACAGAGAGCATTTTAATATTTCTCACAGCTCAGAATATATTGATGTCTCTGAAAGTCTGTGTTCAGGCTGCAGAGCTCTGATGGGCATCTTGTTAAACAGAGTTTTGCTGTCTGTAGGATGAGGAGGACTTTCTTTATGGGTGATTCTTAAAGTCAGTGATGGCAGATGATGAGTTCGGTCCTGAAAATTCAAAAACTAGGAACAGGGAGTATAATTTCACACAAATATGTCAGGAGTTGGTGGTGACCTATACCCTTCTGACTTCTTCCAACTGGCTGTTGCAAGGTGGGGGTTGGAAGGCAGAAGATTCACTACCCAAATACTGCCTTTCACTGCCTGTTGTGAGGTGCAGGGGCCTCCAGGCACRGATAACCTCTGGTTTAGGGAAAGACCTGTTTCCTTGCAGCTGCCTGTGGCTGGGAAGCGAACAAAGCTTCACCCTGGGGTGGTGTTTGAGATGATGCTTGAGAGCTTCCTTCAGCTCCTGGGGAAGTCCTGGAGTGCAAGGACTGGCTTTGTGAGTGTGTGTGCCTCACTCAGGCTTTTTTTCCTTAAGGGAGGAAGAGACAACAATGGAGCTGTGCACTGCTCAGTGTCATAGAACCATGGAATGGTTTGGGCTGGAAGGGGCCTTATTTAGTTCCAACCCCCTGCCATGGACTGGGCACCATGTCCCTTCATCATCTGCTGTTCTACCATACAAACGGCCTCTTCTGATCTCCATTGTGGGGGGTGGGGGAAGGTGCCGTCACTGCTCACTTGAATTCATGTTATAAAATCACAGAATAGGTCAGGTTGGAAAGGGACTTCGGTGGGTCACCTGTCCCACCTCCCTACTCGAGCAGGGTAATCTCAGAACACATGGATTGTGTCCACATGGTTCCTGAATATCTCCAGTGAAGGAAACTCCACAACCTCTCTGACCAACCTATTCCAGTGCTCGGTCACCCACACAGTAAAGAAGTTCATCCTCATGTTCAGGTGGAACTTTTGTGCATCGGTTTCTTCCCGTTACCTCTAGTCCCACTGCTTGGCACCAGGGAGAAGAGCCTGGATCCATCTTCTTGGCGCATTCCCTCTGCACCCTTAAGATATTTATAYACACCGAGGAGACAATGAGGTAATGATATTTGAGAAACACGGAAGGTAATCGGTAAACCACGCGCAGTGAAGGGGGCGCGGCAGCGGACGTGCTTCCTCCGCAGGGCTGTGACGCAGCGGCTCAGTGCGCGATGCCGGGAGTGCCGGGGGGTGACTGATGTCGCCGCTTTCCCCGGGGAAGCGAAGGGAAGTCGGGCCCACGTGTGCAGCGCCGCCGGACAAGCGTCAGACCCGTTCAGCGCCGCTCGGGCCGTTCCCGCCGTTCCGCTATTCCCGCCATTCCCGCCATTCCCGCTATTCCCGCCATTCCCGCCGCGCCGTCCCCGCGCGCCGCAGGGGCGGGGCCGGCCCCACCGCGAGCGGGATTGGCGGGGGCGGGCCCGAGCGGTGCGCGTGCGCGACGCGTGAGGCGGCGGAGGCGGGGGAAAATGGCGGACGGCAGAGCTGAGGGGGAGAAGGCGAAGCGGCCGCAACCCGCAGGAGGTGAACATGTAGCGCCTCTCGCCGCGGAGCGATGGGGTGGGAATGGGGTCCGGGCYAGTCCAGCAGGGGTGTGGGGGGTCCACGTGTGCCTCACCCGAGCGGGCGAACCCGGGCCGGGCCGGGCCGGGCCGTGCGGTGCCCGGCCCTGCGGGAAAAGGGGGTGGCGGCCCGGGCCTGAGGGGGCTGCGCTGGAGGAGAGGCCGAGTCGGGCCTGCTGTCCCCAGCTTTACAGGACAGGCGCTTTTGTAAAAATACACCAGCTTCTCCTTGTCCACGCAAGTGCGCTATTTCTCGTAAAAGTACACGGAATACTTATGCCGTGTTTTGAGAGAAATGCGACTGTTGCTGTGTGCAAGAAGACAGAGCTTTAAAATTAACTTCCAGCAGTTATGGTACCTTTTTTATAAATGGGTACAGAGAATATTCTTTAATTGCCGTTTTAATTTTTTGGGTTTTTTTTTCCTTGGCAGCAATCTGTAAGTTTGCTGTTTGGTTTTATAGTATTTTGTATTGTCACTGGACATTTCTGTCATTTCTGCACTATTTGGTTCGAAAATTTTAATTGGATATTTCTTTTCTTCTTTCTTCCCTTAACTTAAAGTTGAGAGGACAGGGGCTTTGCAAAGATAAAACTTTTCTTTCCTGATGTGTTTCTTTTTTCGTTTTAGTTGGGTTTCAGTATTTAGGGTTGTTTTTTTTTTTAATATATCTGTAGGCAGAGGGCACTTCTTAGTTTTGTTGGAAAATTAAATCAGGCTTGTAAACTAATCAGGATAGCCACAACAGTGAATGTTATTTCTGATAATCACTGAAATTTGAACAGCAGTACTTAATTTTAAGTAGTTCCTTGACTCTTGGTTCTCTGTTGGGCTTTGGTGCCTTTTTGGGTTTTATTTTTTGGTGGTGGTATTGTGTTTTTTTGGTGTTAGTAACTACACAGCATCAGTACATCAGCAGTTTGTACTGTCTTGTATACAGTTTGATGTGCTGAAACATGATCTTAATGAGTCGAGGTGTGTTGGCCCTAAGGAAGAATAGTTGCTTCTTGAGGATCTTTGAAACCAGTTTGCAATCTTTAGCTTTTGTCAAGATAGTGGGGTTTATCTTAAAATTAATTTAGTTGTGACTGGTTTGTTCCCACACATCTCAGTGGCTGCACTCCCAGGGAYAACAGATCCTGAAATGCTGTGCAGCTGGCACTGTCAGTCTTGTCACTTCAGCCCCTTGGAGAGTGGAAGCTGTCCACTCGTGTGGTTTGTTGATACACATGAGTAAAATTTAGCAGTGAAGCAGGGCAACTTYTTATTTCTGCAATCCATGAAAAGGATACTGGTCAGTCTAGTTTGGAAATGGTACTGGTGCTTTCTGTAGGTGAAGTAGGACCTCCAGGAAATAATAAAGAAGCCTTGATATCATGGAATATATGTATGGATTGGCATGGGAGATGGAAGAGACCATATCTATCATATTAAGAGAAGGTTAATATGGCTGCCTTTCTGTTTCCTACAGAAATCAAACCAGCACAATGGCTCCCTCCCCACCTTCCACAATTGTCCTGTGCCCCTTGCAGCTCTCTTAGCAAGTTCTTACTTATGTTTCTTTCAGCAGTCTGCAGTTCATCCTACAGTGAGCCCAGTAGAAATAACACTCAGAATGCAGTGCTGATAGGAATTAATTCGGAGAGATGCTCTTTAAGATTTGGTGARAAAACAGATGTGGGTAGATTGTGTTAGTCTTCACCTTGTGCTTAGAGTATTTGAGAGTTTGCACTTAAAAGTAAACTGTAGTGTAATAAACTTCAAGTTGGCACTAGCTGAGGAACCTGGACTGGTTCCCTGTGCCCTGAATTTTGGGCAGSTATTGATTTTGTATGTTATGAAAAAGAAGACTTAGGCTTATGSTTCCAGCACTTTTTAAGGCCAGTRAATCTTCTACCTACCCTTGAATCACAGTCTCTAGTGCAGCTAGGCTGGACTTGGAATATTCTGTTTAATGGGGTTTTGTGGATTAGCTGTAAGGATGTTCTCACAGTCTCTGCAGACTGCTGTTTGGTAAACTGTGCTAAGACAGCTACCAGTGCCCAAGGTCACTTGTGTAAATTTTGATTGTTTCTCTTTCCTCCTTTGTTTTTAATTTTTATATCTATGTTTTCTGGATCAAATCTCTAGGACCATTTTTTAATACAGTGAAACTGATTAAAGTTACATTTTTTTGTGATCTGCCATATTGCTGAAGGTGAACAATAAATCATTTTGGTTTCAATCACTTATTGTCTTGATAGCTGAAAGAGTGGGGTAGGAATGGTATATTCTTCTGCTTATGATTTGGGAAATAGCAGACAAATATCTATATATATATATATAGATTGAGTCCCTAGTTTTTCTCTTTGCTGATGTTTACTTTTTTTTTTCTCAGAGCTGCAATCTTGTTGACCCCCAGTTCAGACTTTATTCTCTCCCATTGCTTCATCTTACATAGTAGYTTTTTGCCTTAGCAGTGCAAAGAGCTTTATTCCCTGATGGTCTCAATTTTCTGTGCATGGAAGGTGCTGTTCTCCAKTCCATATGATGAGGAACTTTTGCTAGCTTCAGTTGTTTTAAACTGCTACTGTGAGCACTTCCTGTCCATTCCCTAATGTGTTGATTTTTCCCCCTTCTGTGACTGCAGTGCTTTGCTTTTTGCAGCAGCAGGGAATTGGCTTTTTGCTGAAGCATTTACTATGTTCAGTATGAGTTTTCCAAGGACGCCTTTGTCTCTTGGTGTAGGTGAAGAGGCTGGTTATATAGGAATGAAAATGTTACTTGAATGTTTTTTCTCTGTGGATCACTGTTCAGCTGCTATGTTTTCCGTGATTATACAAAACCAGAAAAGGTGAAATCTATATATATGTTTTTTTAGTGCTGATTTCTTCCTCAAGCAGAGCTTGGCAGATTTATTACAGATGAGATGCGGACAAGCAGTGACTTGAAACATGATTGAGACAGCCGGCCTCACTGTAGTCACTCCCATGATTTTAGAGTTGTGCCAGACAAGCCTAGAGACTGGCATGGACATGATTTTGTAGAAATTTAGTAGAATAAATTCTATCTTAGATTATCTACTCTAGATATGGAATTGGGATTCCAATTACAAAAGTTTATCTGTGACAACTTAAAAACCTAAAAAGATTTAGTCATCTACAATTTAATTTACTACATGAACTTTGACTTCCATACTAAATAAAGAGATGGTGCTTCAAGATTGTTGTCCTGGCTCATACAAGAAGTTCTTTACAAGTAGTGGAGTGCTTGCAGTTCTTCTCCTCTTTGTGTTTTGCTGTCCACTAAATATACATTGGTGGAAACTGCTGTCACTAAAAACATCTTACCTATTGCACCCAAAGTTTTAATGCTTTTTGAGGTTGCTGCTCCCATCAATCTGCTCAGTAAAAGTAGCTCATCTTGGTAAGTTGTTTCGACTTCACCAGGACCTGAAGAAGAGGCAGAAAAACCTGTGAAAACTAAGACTGTTTCTTCCAGTA